AAAATTGCAAAAAATAACGCATCACATTAATTTTATCTCTAAGAAGTTCAGAACTAGGATCTGAGGATCATAAAAAAAAAAAAATGAAAATAAAGCACCTGAAACAGATTTTGGACCTGAAAAATCCTGAAATTTAAAATAAACCGGTCTAGCTGAAAACCATGACAAAATTGACCAAAATGTATTTTTACTAAAGTGCTTAGAAGCAGTTTTTTATGGTTTCATTACAACAGTGACAACTTAGTGATGTCATGGGTTTTAAGTTTTATTTTTTCTCAACTCTAAAAATGGACATGAATCAAAATGTTGAATTAAAAGTTCAAGTGTCAATGAAATTTAGGTCAAAAAAGGCTCTTATCCCACTTAGCTGCGGAACTGCGGTGTAGCACTTATAAAATGGTCCTTATGATATTGTCTGACAATTTGCAGAACATATCCTTCCTTAAGTTCAAATCAAACATACTTAATTTCTTTATTTGAAGCTCTTCTCTTCATTTACTTTCATTAACTGTAACCAACTAATTAAAAAGCAGGAGACATTTGCAGTTATAGCCATTGTTTTTTTTTACCTTGATGAAGTATTCTATCATAGTCAATCAATTTTATCAACTGAATAATGAAATTTTCCTCAGGTAAAACTCTGAAAATCAAAGCAATAGAAATGTCTATTACCAAACTGTTTGCAGTACTCTCTAAGCACATTATAAACTGCACTTGCACGACATGTTTTGAAGCCTCTCATAGTTAATAGATAATAAACAGAGCATACATAGAACACAGCATGCTTAAAATGAGAAACAGACTATAGATAAAATCTTGTTTTTCTGACATAATTACTCATAATAATTAAGATTCAGTGATCTTTGAAAAGATATTCTTGTGATTTAATTTGTAAAGTCAACAAACAAAATGCTACATTCTATTAAAGAGTTGCCAAACAGCCAACTTACCTATCAGAGGGTTCTAAAACAGAATCTGTCTGTTGATGGATTCCCAAGTTGAATAAAGACAAGATTTCTTCCAGATCTAGTTCTGGCTTTGAAGATTAAATGGGGGATAAACTTAAGTTTATAAGAAGAAATTACATTTCGATAGTATAGATCTGTGTTTCCCTAGAAATATTTTGAATAATGGTGAATTGACTGAAAGGATGGTGGTCACAAATTTTAAGTATAGAATAACTGGAAATTTCAAATTTTAAAGGATGGGGGCCCCCATCCAAATAAATGCATTAGAGCATCACCATGCAAAAACCCTCTAGGGAAACCACTGTATGGAAAAAGTGCATGACCCTTCATGGACATATTGGCTAGCCAAGGGTTATGATCGTAACCCTTGGCTTAAGCAAAGATGTTTCATGGACAGATATAGCATATTTGTTTTTACTGTTCAGAGATGGAATATATGTACTCCTTGCGCTTTGATTATAAGATATTTCTGTTTCAAGGGATAATTGTATAGGATATCTCTAATTATATCCGGTGTATGAAATATCAAATATAGATTTTCCTACTGTTGCTAGTGCGTGAGTTACAATAGTTTTCCACTCAAGACAGTTCACTTTTAGATTTTTAACATGCATGTAATGAGCAATAAAAGTGCATGCTGATCTTAATCTGAGGTCAAAAGTGTAAACAAAAAGTTAAATTTGCTGGAACCTAAGTCTAAATAAAATCGTTAAAACTAAACGATTAGTATTTGCATTTTTTTGATTGACTAACATTCTGGGAATTCACTTTCAAGAATGTTAAATGGGAAATGACATTTTAATTTCAGCTAAGAAACGTCTTAAGTAAACTTACAAATGATGTTCTGAAGATGAAAAGATTTTCATTTGAGGTTACCTCGTAAAATATGATTTACTGTTTAATAGTTTTTACACTTCTTCAATTAGCCTGAAACTTTTTTATGATGTGATAGGATTCCATTCAAATATTCTTAGATAATGCACTAATGTGGACACAGAAGCATACCTCAACTTATTTTAGCAAAATTGATGTGAATATAAAGCCAATTGTCACAAACATGAATGAAAACTTTGAGATGTCTTGATTGTCTTCCAAATATTGATTTTTACTTATTTCTACAGAACTAATCTTTCAAACTGACTGAATTCAGAGTTAAAAAAAAACTGTAATTGCTGTTTTTAAAGCAATAACTTGTGATTTTCATCTGTACTAAACAGGTTTCTGTATTCAAAAAGTCATTGCTGCTTGTTATATACTTTCTGTTTTCTTTACTTGGTTATAATGTACAGACAAAAAAACACAAATTGTTTCATCCTTGGATAAATCTAGTGTTATGTATAGGTACAAACAAGTATAATCTCCCTTTGGTCACTATATGACCAGCCCAACAGTTATTCAAATAACAATATCTTACTTTCTCTGACAGCTGCTATAAATTATATTAAAATATTGTTCTTATTTTGCCTAATTGATTCCATCAAATTTTCTTGCATTTCATAATCTGTGTCAGGTTTCTTTTTAGAGTGCTGAGACTCCTCAAGTTTTGGAGGTCATAAGTTTGATATCTGGCCAGGTGAAATTGAGTTAAGAATTGGTATTTGCTGCTTTTCCTCCATTAGCACTTATCGTTCAGACTGATCAGCTGGAAAGGCAGAATGTAATATGTCCTCCTGCAGACTTTTACATCCTGTCAACTAGCAGGTTAATAATCGGACACAGCTTGTCAATCTAATAAATCCCCAAGCAGGTTTCATATATGTATTATATTTATAAACATGTTATTGTGCTGGATATGGTTGTAATAGTTGCGACTGGACAATTTGTTGCCATGAGTTAATCCTCAATAATACACTATTTACAAATATTTTCCTCTCTTAATCAAAAGCTATTTTCAAAATCTTAGACCCATCCCTTTGTTACTTCATCCTCGATAATTGCATGAAAAATTTGCACTGGAGGATAAGCAAACAACTGAGTGAGTGACCTTCTTGTTACCCAATATTCATCAGTTATAGTTAAACAAGTGTTTAGGTCCCACTCCAATTTTGGGATTTCTTACAATGGCTATTCTGTCCTTTACCTTCATACAGCAGCTGGTCTGTTTAACCTTCATACACCAGCTATTCTGAGTTACCTTCATACACCAGTTGTTCTGTGTAACCTTCATACGCCAGCTATTCTGTGTTACCTTCAAACAGCAGTTGTTCTTTGTAACCTTCATACACCAGCTATTCTGAGTTACCTTCATACACCAGTTGTTCTGTGTAACCTTCATACACCAGCTATTCTGTGTTACCTTCATACAGCTGTGTTCTGTGTAATCTTCATACACCAGCTATTCTGAGCTACCTTCATACACCAGCTATTCTGAGTTACCTTCATACACCAGCTATTCTGATTTACTTTCATACACAAGCTATTCTGATTTATTTTCATACACAAGCATTTCTGTGTTACCTTCATTCACCAGCTATTTAATGTTACCCTCATACAAAAACTATTTAAGATAGTACCTTTATACACCAGTTATCTGTATTTGTGGTAGCACAATACACCAACTATTTTGTTTGTTTAACTTTGTACACCAGCTGTTTTGGTTAACCTTTTTACACCAGCTTTTCTTTCACTTCCTTTTTACACCATCTTTTCTTTTTTTACCTTTATACACCAGCTGTTTTAGATACTTTTATTTAGCTGCATTATTATGTAACACCAGCTTTTCTGTGGTAGCTTCATTATATATGTAACACCAGCTATTTTGTATAACCTTATACACCGGACCTGTTATTTTATGTAACTTTTATACACCAGCTATTTTGTGTAACTTTTTTACACCAGCTATTTTGTGTAACCCTATACACCAGACCTGTTATTTTGTGTAACTTTTATATACCAGCTATTTTGTGTAACCTTTATACACCAGTTGTTGAACAAATACTTTGTACTTGTATTTCCTTACTCATTTTACCAGCTATTATTCAAATTACTAGACTTTTTTTTATTCACCTGGTAATATAAGTATAATTTTGCCCTCTCTTCTGTATCGTCCTTTTTTGTGGTATAAGACATCCAGCTATTATAAGAATAGTAAGACCCCCTCTCTTCAGGACCCTCATATCAGCAGACACATTTATATAATACAAATAATAAAATATTAAGATAGAAAAATAAACATGAAAGATAGACTCAATCAAGTTTATTGACTTTATGTAATAACAGTTTACTTTGAAGAGATGCAGGCAATGATGCAGTGGTAGTCTAGTTCATAGAATTTTAGTTTGTGAAGCTGAGTATTACTGATTTTCAATTTTCAGTCAGTGAAAATGATATTTAAGATTTATAGATTTGTATGCTCTACGTAACAGCTTGTAAGAGTAGAAAAAGAGGAGGGGAAAAAAGGGGGGTTTGTTTTCAATTGTGTGCATCAATCCTTCAGTTCATCTGCTAGGCTATCCATATAACAGGTTAAAAGTTGTGGTTTAAAGGGATTATATACCCTTTTGTTGTTTCAATGCTAGAAAAGACATATCGTCGCTGGGCTTCCAAAATATAGTAAATTATAAATTTTTCAGCAAAACATTATCTCACAAACAGGCTTTGAAAATTTTGTTGAAATGCATGCTTCCAAAATGTCGTATGTGAACTTGAACATTTTTGTCGAGCCTGCGACTTTTGTCGCAGAAAGCTCGACATAGGGATAGCGATCCGGCGGCGGCGGCGGCGGCGTTAGCTAACTTCTTAAAAGCTTTATATTTTAGAAGATGGAAGACCTGGATGCTTCATACTTTGTATATGGATGCCTCATGTTACGAAGTTTCAGTCAGTCACATGTCCAATGTCCTTGACCTCATTTTCATGGTTCAGTGACTACTTGAAAAAAAAGTTCAGATTTTTTGTAATGTTAAATTCTCTCTTATTATAAGTAATAGGATAACTATATTTGGTATGTGCGTACCTTGCAAGGTCCTCATGCCCGTCAGACAGTTTTCACTTGACCTCGACCTCATTTCATGGATCAGTGAACAAGGTTAAGTTTTCGTGGTCAAGTCCATATCTCAGATACTATAAGCAATAGGTCTAGTATATTCGGTGTATGGAAGGACTGTAAGGTGTACATGTCCAACTGGCAGGTGTCATCTGACCTTGACCTCATTTTCATGGTTCAGTGGTTATAGTTAAGTTTTTGTGTTTTGGTCTGTTTTTCTTATACTGTATGCAATAGGTCTACTATATTTGGTGTATGGAATGATTGTAAGGTGTACATGTCTAGCTGACAGGTGTCATCTGACCTTGACCTCATTTTCATGGTTCAGTGGTCAAAGTTAAGTTTTTGAGTTTTGGTCTTTTTTTCTAATACTGCATGCAATAGGTCAGCTATATTTGGTGTATGGAATGATTGTAAGGTGTACATGTCTAGCTGGCAGGTGTCATCTTACCTTGACCTCATTTTCATGGTTCAGTGGTCAAAGTTAAGTTTTTGAGTTTTGGTCTTTTTTTCTAATACTATATGCAATAGTTCAACTATATTTGGTGTATGGAATGATTGTAAGGTGTACATGTCTAGCTGGCAGGTGTCATCTTACCTTGACCTCATTTTCATGGTTCAGTGGTCAAAGTTAAGTTTTTGAGTTTTGGTCTTTTTTTCTAATACTATATGCAATAGTTCAACTATATTTGGTGTATGGAAATATTTTATGATCTATATGTCAGTCACGCAGGTTTTATTTGACCTTGACCTCATTTTCAAGGTTCATTGCTCAGTGTTAAGTTTTTGTGTTTTCGTCTGTTTTTCTTAAACTATAAGCAATAGGTCAACTATATTTGTTGTATGGAAGAATTGTTAGCTGTACATGCCTGCCTAGCATGGTTCATCTGACCTTGACCTCATTTTCATGGTTCATTGGTCAATGTTTAGTTTACTTGGTTAATGTTAAGTTTATGTGACAGTTGTAATAAAGCTTTATATTTAGGACTATCAACATAATATCAATGATTAGTAAAGAAGGCGAGACATTTCAGCGTGTGCACTCTTGTTGTAAATAGCAGTGAAATAAAAAAATTGACGTTTGTGGATTACATAAAAACTAAACTTATTTTAACAGAAATAAAGAAATGTACAAGTATTTGATTCCCAAAGCCATTAATATACAACACTTTTCAAGTTTACATACAACATGTTGGAAGCAAAATTTACATGCAATTGAGATTGGCAATTTTGTCACATGCCTTATTTCAAATGTTTTGATTGGTCTAACTGTATGCTATTTTGAAATATCAAAGATTGCCCTCCGCCAAGAAGATTTATGTGAAAAAGTTATTTTAGCCAAAAAAGTCATATACGACTTTTTGGAAGCCCAGCGACGATATGGAGATTTTATAGAAAATCAACATCCTTTAAATTCCCTTATACTCATATATTTGATAATTCTGAACTTAAAAGACCAACATTCTTCAGGAAGTTAAGCTAATCTGTGGTTATGAGTAGTAACCTATTTTGTCTACAAGTGAGGCCATATGCCAAAACTTGACATTTAATATTAAGCCCTTATGTTTATAATTACCATATTCATGAAAATTAATCATTTTATCATGGCATCTCTCAAATGTGTAGTTACTCACCAAAAAGGCTGTATTAACAACAGAAATGAAGTGTTCCTTTATGATAAATTTTCACATTGCTTTGAAGTAATTGTTTTGTTTCCTATTCTTGTTGTTACATTAGGATGGGTTAATCAAAACACTTCTGCTAATCATGTGGTCACAGAATCAGGAAGAATTAGTCATTAGAATTTTGGAAAATACTTTTTTTCAAATTCAACAGCACAATATAGAAATCATAAAGATAAAAAAAAAAGTAATAATAAAATAAAAAAACAAAACAAAAAAAACATTTGCAATGAATTTTGATTCAATTGCCTCTGGAATACTTCAATGTGTAAATACTCTTCATGGACAGCTGATACACTTACATTTGAGTTTCATCCTTCTGTCCAGGAAGGGAAACAGCATCCCCCATAAATCAGTGGGAGCTAATGGTTTACATCAAGGCTTCCAAAACGGTCATATATTCCGGACATTTGTATAATGTCCGGTAAAAGTCCGGCTGGGCAAAGCATGAAACGGTCATCTACTTTTTTAGTTTTCAAGACTTTCTTAAGAGACGGTCATTTTAACATAATACACGATCTTTTTGACCAAACCTTTTGCCTTTAACAGCCACACATTTCCGGTCATAAAAGTGACATGATCATTAAGTACTATCAAAACAACCCCTACTTTAATACCTTCTTATTTTTATCAAGGTTAATTAGTTGTCGAACAGCTGAAATTTACCTGTTCAGGTGACAGGTAAACTATTTCGAACCGGACATTGATCGGGCTATTCAAAGTTGTTTTCTTACATTTCACCGGTTTGCATCTAATTAATTTAGTCAAAAAGATTTAAATTATCAGAAATACATTTACAAATATGATTTGATGAAAAAATTAAAAAGGTGAAAATGAAAAATCGTCATAACCACGTTGTTTGAACCAGAGACATATCTCTGTTTGAACTAGTACACGTGTGCGCAGGTGTGAAATTTAATTATTCATCCTAATTTCTTCAAAAAATGCTTAAATTGTCATTGATACCTTTATCTCTTGTTTATTTCGAATATTTTCTTGAAGAAATAACGTAGAAAGAACTACTTACACTCATTCATGCTTTGCAAACGTACACGTAATTTACGTATCCGTCTCTGGTCCATGTTTTACCATTGTCACGATAACATCCGTAGATTTAAAAACAAAAGTAAAGTTTTTGACAACGTTATTTTGCACAAATAAAGAGTCTAAGGCAGATATAAGTACGCTGATGTTGCACACTTCGAATGATGCACTGCCAATTTAACAGTTTACGTCATAACTTCGAATTTGAATCAAAGAAAGTTTAATATTGTTTTTGTTTAAATTATGTCAATCATTGGGATGGCCAACTCGGCAACTGATTACCATAATTGCCTTTTGTTTATTTAGTCTTACGGGATTAAAATCGGGATAAAATATAAAATGTCCGGCTGGCTAAAAATAATTTTGGAAGCCCTGGTTTACATCTAACATAGACCTAGAATATTAATTGTTTTACTTAATAAAGTTTTTTATGGTCAGTTTCCAAAGTTTCCAATTCTGTTCATGTTAGTATGCACTTTATATAGCTCAAGGATTTCTCTTCCTATAAGGTCTTTGTTCAAATTTAATAATACTTGGCTCTGGGCCACTATAATTCAGTTTTATGTTATATTTTTAGTATATTAATTGTATACAAAATAACATAATTGTTGTTGAAGCTAATATCATGTAACTCTCCAAATATACATGTTGTAAATAGCGTGATTACATGCTTTAGAAGATTGGACGAGTTCTTACTTCTAAGAACCACGCCTGGTCTATAAAATTGTACTTTAGTCAAGATTATTTTATAAAAAAACAGTTTGTAATATGCATTAGTAAAAACTAATGCATTGACTTATCTTTGAGATCTTAAACCTTTTGGCTTGGCTGTTTAAAATTTAAGTTGTTGTTGCATAAAAATCACATAAAATTATCATATAATCCTTGAGTTTCTCCATTAATAGAAGCAATTAAATTAATCATTTTTATTTAAAAACTATAATTTTGTCCTGCTGTTTTTTTTTATAATTTAGACCTGAAAAGGCTCTCAAAGTGTATCTAATACTTATATAAGTTCTGTGTACTATTAGGAAACAAACCATTCCATTAGTGCAATGAAACCGAGATAAGTTATTACCAAGAGTAGTTTTGCAGATTCTCACAGACTTTATTTATAGCAAAATAGTTTAGATATGACAGAGGTTAGGGGCGTTATGCTCTCAGATATAGGTGAGAAGAAATATCTATTTATACAGAATTTGGGAAATTGTAATAAATTACTGCAAAGAAATTGTGTTTTTGTCAATTACACAGGCATCCAATGATATATTACTGGTTAGTTGTTATGCAAACATGTAAGAAGTTCACATTTTTGTGATTCCATAGAGGGTGGTTAAATATTGCAATGACTTTCGTCATTTGCTGAAACAATTTCATCAGCTTAATAATTTGGGTAAAAAAATAGTATGAAAAATGATAATAATACTCATAATAATAATATTTTTTATAATTGTTCTATATCTATGTGGGTAAATTGTTTTGTGCCATTGAAAGTAATTTGTAATTAAACCTTTGATTTTTAAACCAGACCTATTTTGCTATCTCTCTATAAAAATGATACACCTTGTGTGTCCCTCCTAACTTCTAATTTTAATATTATCATCTGTAAATTATAAAATAATAATTTAATCATTGCTAATTGATTGTGTCACTTTCTTAGTTATTACAAGATGCTTGAACCATTGGCTTCTATTCTGTTCCAGTGACCTTTTCAGAAAAAGACTATAACTAGATCTGCATTAATATCAGTATAGATCTGTTAATTATTGTAAAACAGTTATAATTGCATACTTAGTGCATATTTCTAATTACAAGTTCAAGATATAATTTTAAAAAATCCAAACCCCAGCATGGAGCCATGCTTTAGTTAATGAATGTTACTCATTCAACTCTTTATCAAATTAAAATGATTTAAACCATGGTGAACCAAACTCTGAAAATATTATATTATTATTTTTGATAAAACTTAGAGATATGATTATGTTGTGTAGGACTGTGAAAAGGATTTACTTATCTATTTCCTTTTTGCATCCAATATACTTATTCTGAAACAGACTATAGTTAGTAGCAATATTATTAGTAGCAGAACAGATCAAGATACTTCTTCTCAACCATTATAGAAGATTTTGGTTCTGATGTGTAACCAATTGATTTTGGGGATATTTATTAGCTCCCACTGATTATGGGGGACGCTGTGTCCCTCCCTGGACAGAAGGATGGGTCCGGGAGTGATTCAGATTCTTCCAATGGGAATAATCATCCTGCAGCCTCGGTAAGAGCTTGTTTTAATTATCCTGTTTTCAATAAATAAGAGAAAAGTTTTATTGTTAAATGTAAATGGCTTATTGGGAAATTATTTGATGAATTATTTTCTAATTAACTCGAGCCATGTGTCAAATCAATATTTTCAATTGAAATTTGACGTCTTTTGTTGTATGTCTGAGGTTTTATGAAGGTCGTTTGTGCTTGTTTTTTTTTTATGAATGACAGTTTATAATAATGTATGATATATTGTGTTTTTCTCCTAATTCTAGCCAGCTTTGATCAGAATTGATGTGATTGATCTGGGTTTAAAATAAGAAGATAAAAAAAGCTGATGTTGTTTTTTGTAAATAAGATTTTTGTCGCAAATCAATACAGATTTTTCCATCTTGGAAAAGCTGTGTTTTGTCAGCTGTTATTTGTATCTTCTAGTTATTGACCGATTTCAGCATTCATAAATTACACATCAGAGCAAAAAAGCAACATGGCTAGGGGACAGATAGATATCTATGTTTAATTAAAAATTTGTCCAAACAGATTGACTCTTATAATACATGATAGCTTTTTTTAAAACTAAACTGCTGTTATAATTTTGCTCATTATAATAAAATTGAGAATGGAAATGGGGAATATGTCTAAGAGACAACAACCCGACCAAAGAGCAGATAACAGCCAAAGGCCACCAATGGTTCTTTAACGCAGCGAGAAAATCCCGCACCTGGAGGTGGTCCTCAGCTGGCCCCTAAA